CCGCCCGCCCGAGCGGTTCGCAGCCGCCTCGCTCCCTGCGCCCGGAACCGCTGCCCTGCTCCCTTCTGCAGCGGAGAACCGCGTGAGATTTTAACTGCCGTTTTCCCATTGACCTTTTCTTGGAAGAGCAAAAAAACCCTGCTGGTCCCAACTCCGCGCCTGAGATCCGGCCTGTTCAACAGGATCACGGCGCCGCCCGGAGCTGCCAGCGCGGAGCTGCGGAAACGCGCCAGCTCGCAGGTGAGCCGCGCCCGCCCGCCCGCCCGCAGGCAGACCCGCCTGCAGCCCTGCGCAGCGCAGCGTCGTCGGCTCACAGTCGGCGCGGCGGCGAGGTTAAAACATCCAGACCCTGCCCTCCGCCTGCCCCTCGGGGCTGAGCGCGCTGACGACGCGGAGTGCGGACCCCGTTGCCCAAATTCAGTTTCAGCCCACCACCGCTGAACGCCCCCGCTCCGCGCTCGGGCGCCCTCTAGCGTCGTTCGTGCAGCCCTGCGTGCCCAGCGGCTGCCCCCACCCGGCGAACCTCAGACCGCGCCCCTTCCAAATAGCGCCCCGGTCCCTGTATCAGGCCCTCTCCGACGCCTCGTGGTCTAGCAAAACCAACGCGGAAACCTTACCTTAGAGTACATGACAAGAAAATTTGTCCCGTATTTTATAATTAAATAGAATTTGCTGGCCTTTTAAGGAATCCTAAATCCAAGGTCACATATTTCTGATCTAATAAGAATAAAGTAGTAATAATGATAAGGCAATTCAGGATAATCCTTAAGAGATTTGTCTCTTAAGTCTAATACATAGATTGAATGATTTATTGTTTACTGAGATCCTGTCTTATTCAAAGAAACATAATTTACTCTGACCTGAAGTATACGGGATAAGTTTGTGTGTGTTTGAACACAGTAGCACAAGTAAAGGCAGGAAATCGGGCTCATGGCCCAAGCGGTGCTGGGGCCCCTCACAGCCCGTATCCCCACATACCGTGTGTCAGGACTGCTCGGGCCTGGGAGATGCCCCAACCCACGTGGAGAAACTGCTCCCAGAGGGCACTCCCTTGGGGCACCGTGGGTGGCACCGAGAGTGCTGGGCCGGTGGTGCAAACCCATCCTGCTCTACTGCCCTGCGAGAGACCCCGGCCCCCACCCAACCTCGGGGGTTTTATGTCAATGGTGTGTCCTGTTAAAGCTGTTGTGTACACTCACAGAACCCCAGCCCATGTCTTGGGCAGAGCCTGCCTTCTTGCCGGGCCAAAAGTCTGAAGGTGAAAGGTCTGTGCAGCCTCCGGCCAGGTGTCTCTGTGGCCCTGCCTGTCACTCACTACCTTCCCAGTACTGGACTTCTGCAGCCTGTGTCCCCAACCCCAGCACCTGTGTGTGCCCTGTGAGTGGGAGGGGTCCTGGCGGAGCCGAGCAGCCAGCTTAGCATGTGCTGCCCTCGCAGGGCGTGAGGAGCTTCAGCACCCCTGTGGGCTTGGACTGCAGCATCCTTGTGGACTTGGTGGTGGTGGGATCCGTGGCTGTTTCTGAGCGAGGTAAGACGGCAGCCCGATGCTAGGAGGCAGGTGCTCTGGCCCCGTGTGCCCTCAGATGTGGCCGCTGTTCTCCCCTGTGCTCCATCCCAGGTAGAGGCCTCAGTGGACGGAACTGGCGCCTCCCACACGGGGGTGTCCCTGGGTCACACTGCTTGGTTTGCAGAGTGGCCAGCGTCCGGCCTGCCCCCTGTGCCTGCTTTCCCAGCACCCCAGACCTGGGGTGCTCCTGACTGCTGTACACCAGCGCCTCCTGGGCAGCACAGGTGCGGGAAGCAGCCCAGCTCCACCGGGCAGGCCAGGGACCCTCAGCCTCCTACAGGCGCCCTCTTGGGGCCTCAGGCCCACTCCGTCCCACAGAGGCTGTGGGCACTGTGGACGGAGGTGTGGGCTCACAGAGGCCGCCCCGCCTCGGGTGTGGGCTTTCAGCAGAGTGTCGTCCCCCCTCCCCCCCCAAGGGTCAGGAGCGTCCTTCCCAGCTCAGGCACGTGTGACGCAGAGAACAGTCTCAGAAATTGTCCTTCAGTTACCGCAGCTTAAAATGACAACACAGCCATGCACAGGGAGGACAGCTGAAGAACACGGAAGCGCTCCCCTGGCTGTGCCACATGGGGCCCCTGCTGTGTCCCCGATGGGGACACAGGCGAGCCAGCGGTGCCCTCGATGCCAACTGTCTCGCCCTTCCCACAAGCAGCGACAGTGTGTGCTCTGTGCCCGGCCGTGGGACCCGGGATCCTGGGCCTCCCACGACACTGCTGGATACAGCATCACACGGGGACTGTGGGGTTACTGGGACCCTTCTAGAGGGACCCTTCCAGGTTTAGCCTGGATGATTTGCCAGACCCCGTGGCGCCTGCTTGACGTGGAAATACGGAGGCTGTCTCGTGGCCAGAAGCAAGCGGCAGTCTCTCGTCTGCCTTGTCGCTCGTGTCCAGCGACAAGCACAGTGCTTTGCCTGCCCGCGGCCCGCCTTGTCTGTCCTCTCCATCGTTACCACTTTCTGCGGAGCTGTCCTCCCCTATCACCTGCGTGCATGGCTGGAGGTTGGAGCGGGACAGCCCTAGCATGGTGGGCTCCGGATCTCTGAGAGGCCTCAGCAGTGCACTGTCCCCTGCCCTCTGGCCTGGGGAGGCCTCAGCCTGTCCTCAGGGTGGGGCTGCATGCTGCGCACAGTGCAGTGCGCCCGCCTGCCAGGCCGTATCCCCACACGTCACCTGCCCATCTCGGAGCTTTTGTCTCGTGCGGTAGAAGGATTAAATCTATTCTGCCTTTGGCTGGAATCTGTCTCCTCTCCCGCAGTCTCTCCTCTCACTGCTGCTGAGTGTGAGGCTCGTGAACGCAAAGCAGTGGAGGAGAGTCCAGGCTCCCCGCGGCTGGCGAGGCCCACTTGGCTGCTTTAGCCCGCGCACGTTGGCACCGCCCGTCCTGTTTCAGCCTGAGTGTGGGGTTGCCTTGGAGGCTGCAGTGGCGTGGGGCCTTGGGGTCCAGGTCACCACCCCTGGCAGCCTGGTGGGAGCTAAGGCTGCACGCAGACACCAGTCCTTGCCCCGTCCCTCAGGCTGGAGGATCGGCAAGGGAGAAGGCTACGCGGACCTCGAGTATGCCATGATGGTGTCCATGGGAGCTGTCTGTGAGAAGACACCCGTGGTCACCCTCGTGCACGACTGCCAGGTGCGTCCGAGCCGCCTGCGTGCGCGCAGGGTGGGTGGAGGCTGGACAGCTGGCCGCCCATGGCACGAGCCATGCGGATCCCCAGCCTCTTCTCCCCTCCCTCCCCAGGTCCTGGACTTCCCGGAAGCACTTCTTGAGGACCATGACCTCACGGTTGACTATATCCTCACTCCCACCAGGGTCATCGCCACGCACTGTGAGCGCCCAAAGCCAGCGGGCATCATATGGTCCAAGGTGGGTGCCTGCCGAGCCAGCCAGAGTCCTGAGCAGCCCCTCTTAGCGTGGGCCCTGTGTGGCATGGCTGTCCCCTCCCGCCCAGCCTGCCTGCACCAGAGTGCCCAGCAGAGCTGCAGGATGAGGCAGTGCTGCCCGCATCAGGTGAGATGCGGCCTTGGGCTCAGATGCTGACCACAGCAGGTTCCAGGGCTGCCTGGGGTGGCAGTGGTGCCCCTCGGTGGGCGTGGCAGGGATGGCCAGGAGGGTGGCGTGTTGCCCTCTGGCAGCGGCCCCGTCCCCTGCACCCCTCCACGTGGCCTGCTGGCTGCATCGCAGACCCTCCTCAGGAACTGCCGGACACCCAGCACAAACGTGGCTCAGCAGGCAGCGCGGTGGGGTGGGGACACGGAGCCCCTCGGACCCTGGGCCTCCCTGTGGCTTTCTCTGCTGCCCAGGCCTGGTACATGGCAGTCAGGCTGCACAGGAGTCTGTCTTCAGCCCGTGATGCTGTGTCTGATGGCAAGTAGCCAGGACCACTGAGAAACAGGGAGAAGCTGCTCCCCGTGGGGAACAAGTGTGAGCCCCAGATTCTCCTTTAAACCCAAGTCCCCCCGTCTGGACCCATGGCAAATCACTGCCCACCTCTGAGGACAGACAGGAGCTGAGGTCTAGCACTTGGCCTCAGCCGGCAGGCACTGCTTTGGCCTGCAGTGCAAGGGGTGGGGGGCAGTGTCATGTTCAGTCCTTCTGGGTCAGCCAGGGAGATCCGAGGGCCAGGGCTTATGTAGCCAGGAAGGAGAGGCAGCCCCTGCAAGGCACCAGGAGTGCCAGGGAGAAAGTGCCCAGGCCTTCCTGAAGTGGAGATGTCCCTTGGTGTCTTTCCGAAGAGCTTAGGTCCACTCAGAATTTGGGTATAGAGGCTGCAACCCCACCCCCACCCCCTGCAGCAAGGCGAACGTCTCCCTGTCCCAGGAGCAGGGTCTTGGGGGACCCCACAGTTGCTCCTAGGTGAGCGCTGCAGCCAGGGCTCACCACACCTGTCCAGGCCTGTCCAGGAGAGGATGTGGGGTCACTGGTGACACCCTGCAGATCTCCACAAGTGGAAGGAGCCGCTGATGGTGCTGAACCTGCCAGGCAGCTTGTAGGTGACTGCATGGTGGGGTGGTGCAGTTGGCTTGCTGCCTGGGAGGGGTTCTGGCCCAAAGAGGTAGTCCCGGCGTGGCCTGGAGGGACCCTTCCTCCCAGCCCTCCCTTCCCCAGCTTTCCACTCTGTGAGGTGAACGGCTTCCTCTGCCAGACCCTTCCGCCTGCCTCCCTGCCTCAGTTAGGCCCATGGACTGGCAGGCTCTAGAGGAGAGCGGAGTGACCTCCCCTTTGAGTCGGGGGTGGCGGGTACTTTGTCCCAGCCATGAGGAACATGAGATGGGTGTGACCCCTTCCCCTTGAGCAGGGCCAGGTCTGCCGGACCTTCAGAGCCCCATTTTCACTCCACCGGTGACATTAGTGATGATACACCTGATCCTGGGCCTTGAGCTGTTTGGAATCCCACTGCCCTGTCCCCAGACCCACCTCCAGCGTCCATTCTGTGCCCTGCGTCTGTGATGGTGGGGTCCCTGCCCCCAGCTTTTCACCAGCTGGTCACCCTGTGTGGCCCCTGTATGTGCCATAACTTGTCACTGCCACACTATACCCAGTGCCCACCCAGAAAGGAGGATGGGGCCAGCTCCCAGATTGCAAGGGCCTGGGTGAGGAGAGCTGCCCACAGCAGGGCAGGCGAGGAGGGGTGTCTGGGAGGTAGAGGGGTGGGCCCGGACCCTCATGCCTCGCCCCAGTCACCTTTGCAGGCCCTGCTTGTGTACGTGTCGAGAGCTCTCCAGCCCTGCGTCTGCCTTGGTCTTGCTGTGTGTGCTGCAGAGTAGTTTTCTGTTGACTTTTATTGGGGGGAAAAGCTTCAAATTCCAGTAAAGCGACAGGGCCGGGGAGGAGGGGTCAGTTGGACGCAGCATTCCAGTGTCCTGCCCGGTGCGCAGCAGGTAGAGCTGTGACCACGGGAGCAGCTTGCTTCCTGCCTGCTTGGTGCATCTGTGGGCACTGTGGGGCTCAACGGCAGCAGAGAGGGAAGCAGAGAGGGAACCCCATCTCCTTATGATGCACCTGATCCTGGGCCTTGAGCTGTTCGGGATCCCACTGCCCTGTCCCTGGATCCGCCTCCAGTGTCCATTCTGTGCCCTGCAGCTTTAGAAAGGACACGGGCAACTGGTGAGTGCCTGGCAGGTCCACACCAGCGTGCCCCGCTGTGACCACAGGCAGGCGTCTGCGGAGGACAGGATGCGGTCATGTCAGCCTCCTAGGCGTGGTGTGGGCAGGCGTGCATGGCTCTTAGCTGGAGGCTTGGAAATGTTAGCAGTGCCCTTTGTCACCGTTGTCACAGGGATGAGGCCACTGTCCATCAGAAAAGAGCCCTTCTGGCTCCTCAGCAGGGGAGCCCCTCTCTAAGGATGCAGGCAGGGGCCCCAAAGCTGCACCCAAGGAACTGGCCCTGCAGCTGGGGGGGGGGCTGCCTTCATCTTCCTGTGAGCTTGCTGCTGTGGCTGGGTCCTGGGAGTGAGCTCCTGGAGCCTAGGCGGGCTCTGGGGGACTGCTACCAGTCTTCACTTGCTTGTCCTTGGTGACTTCCACAGAGAGGTCCACTCTGGCCGCCTGCACAGTAGGGCATGGGTGGGTGGGCGCAAGGTCAAGTGGCCCGCCCTGTACCTCAAGAGGGCAGCTTGCAAGCAGCAGCCCTCAGAGCCCTTTCTACCCCTGGTGGAGCCGTGCCATGGCAGGGCGCTGCCCAGGTGGTGGGCAGGGACCAGGCCCGTGTGACTCCCGCTGCTCGGGGCTGCCCGCACACCCCCGGGCTCAACGAGAGAGAACAGCACTCTGCGCCCTGCTGCCGTCAGGAACAGCTATAATGAACAGCTCTGCACGTGCAGCGAGTGGCGTGTGCGCCAGCTCAGCCTGGAGCCTCGCACGCGGCCGGCAGCTCCAGCGCTGGGCCGGGTCAGCTCCAGGCGCCAGCTCCTCTGGGTTAGTTAGGTTCACGAGAACCACTCAGGGTGCCACAGGGCCACTTGGCATCCAGAGAGGGTGGCTGAGGTGTGGCTGGCCATGCTGTGACCTGCTGTGGCTCTCGTTTCCTCTGCATCTCTGGTCTCCGCATGGGCACAGGGGTGCTGCCATGCAGATGGGAGCCGGCGGCGCCTGGCCTCGCTGAGGGACTGCACGCAGGGGCTGGCCAGGTGCTGCTGCCCCTGTCTCCAGTGTGCTGGTTCATTGCCTGTTTTGTAGTTGGGGTGCTGTGAGTGGTCATTGGTGGCCCTGGAAATCACAGCCAGACCAGGGAGGGAGCTCAGCACGGCTGTCTCCTGTGGCTTCTGGCCACAGTGGGCGCTGTGGCCCCAGAGGAGCAGTCCCCTGACTGAGCCGCTCTGCGTCCCGAAGTGCCTAGCTCTGTGGGAGCTGGCCCTGGACCCTGGCGCTCGGTGACTGCCCCAGCCCACACAGGGCCCAGGAGAGGGTGACACACTTCTTAAGCGCCGAGAGCAGCTGTGCTGCTGAGCGCATCTGCGGGTGTCCAGTCCCTCTGGCGCCCGGCCAAGCCCACCAGCCCGGCGATTGCCCTCGGGCCCTGGGACGTCACAGCTGGGGTCTGCTCCGGCGGCCAGGCGCCAGCTGGACCTCAAGCGTCTGTGCCGTACTGGTGCCCAGGAGGTGCTCAGTGGTGGGTTGCTGTGGCACAGAAAAAGCCCAGAGGTGCTGTGCAGCAGTGCCCTCCAGCCGGCCAGGGTACTGATGGCTCATGCCAGGAGCCCCAGTTTGGGTGGCTGAGGCAGGAGGATTGCAAGTTCAATGTCATTGCGGGCAACTTAGCAAGATCTTGCTTTAAATAACTAAGGGCCAAAGGCTCAGTGGCAGGTTGGCGCCCAGCTTCTGTGTGGCGTTTGCTTCATGGCTCGAGCTCCTGCTGCCAGGAATGGGCGGCAGATGTGGCACTCGGATGTGGATGGCCTCTCCTGCCTGTCTCCTAAGGTGTGGCCTAGGAGATGTCCCCCTGGGGGTGAGGAGCCTGTGACCCACTTGGAGGCCTCTTCCTGCTGGGCACAGAGAGGACAGGTGTGCAGGCAGAAGCTGCACTGTCCCTGGGTCATCTCTGGGCCCCAGTGCCAAGGCCAGGTGTCCCTCTGGGCAGAGGCCTGCGACAGTGCCTCAGTTTCCCCTTTCTGCTTTCAGCTACTTAGGCATGGGTCCAGACTCGGTCACTTGGCCAAAGTGAAGCGCACTACCCCCAAAGGCACCCTGTCCCCGTGAGTGTGCGCACAGGGCCCTGGGCACCCTGGGCACAGCTGGCTCTTTACACTTTCAGGTCAGCTGTGAGATGTTGGAGAAAATCCCAGTGCTCCGGAGCCTGCGTGATCGAGAGAGGCGGGCGGGGAAGGACGTCACCCTGCAAGCGGAGCTCCAGCGCCCAGTGCCCCAGGCCCTGCCAAGGCGCCCCAGCATCCCCCCCAGCTAGGGACAGGTGTCCCGCAGCAGAGCTGAGCTGGCAGTCACGTCCTCCCCAGCACTGCGTCCTCCCCAGCACCGGCGTCTCTGACGAGTGACAACAGCCACCACCGCCCCCGTGGTGAGGCCCTTACTTGGCAGGGTGAACCAAGCCGTGGAGAGGCAGGTGGCGTTTCTGTGTGGGATTTGCTTCCCGGCTCGAGCCATGAAGTGCGCTTCATGGCACACCCGGAGCCGCCCTGCCTCCCTCCCACCCACACTCCGCAGCCTCCGTCCTGAAGCCCCTGCAGGCCTCAGCCGTGGTCTCTGCTCCTCGCCCGTGTTCCTGTTTGTCTGCCCCGACTCCTGTACCCAGGCTTCTGTGGGTTGAGGGCCTTGGGTAAGAGAGGCGCCAGTGGCCCTGACCTCACATTTCAACTCCTGCGTCCAGCCACGCCCAGGCCAGCTGGCCCTTGGACAGGAGTCGCCACAATAAATGGCCACTTCTGGTGCCGGTGAGCCAGGATGGTGGGTTCTGTCCTTGTGGCTGCTAGGCAGAAAACCGGAAGCCATTTCTCACTTTATATCCGTGGGCAGTGGAAGCTGAAAATAGGAAACGACCCCGAATGCGTCAGCCCTCAGGCACCTCACTGCCCCAGTGTTCCCAAGGTCCAGCTCTGCTCCGGGGAGGCAGGCGCCTGTCACCTTACTGGTGTCATGAGGCATAATTGGTGTAATGATGTCACGGGAAGGGGTGGAGCCACCAGTGACAGTGCCAGGCCTGGGCGTGGGTCCCATCCTGACGTGTAGCACTGTCCTGGATGACACTTCCTGCGGAGGCTGCGGCTGTGGGCCCCGGGAGTTCAGCTGGAGCTCCGCGGGTGAATGCAGTCTGGCCTGCTGTCTGCCCCGCTGTGCAGCACGGGGTCGCCACCGGCCGGCTGTGGCTTCCTCACCCTCATCCTCAGGCCCGGTGGGCACCACCACTTGACTTTTCCCCTCATTTCCCTAGTGTCAGAGTGGTACACATCTGTCATCCCAGCACTGGGAGGCTGAGGCAGGAGGATTTCGAATTTGAGCCCAGCCTGGGCAGCTTAGTGACTTAGCCAAGACCCTGTCTCAAAATGGAACAATAAAAAAAGGTTTGGGGTTGGAGCTGAGCACCAGGCCCTGGGTTCAGTCCCCTGGACCCCCCTGAAGCTCACAGAAGTCGTGAACACCCACTGAGGGCATCGCTGTCCTCCCCACGGATCAGCAGGGTGCAGGGTGAGCGAGACAGGCTTGCTCCAGGCGCAGCTCCGCCTCCGGTGACACTGAGGGTGGGGCACGGAGGTCTCAGGCACAGTCGAGTGTCCCCGCCATGCTCCAGTCCCTGGGCGATGTCAGCGCAGGGTGAGGACACAGGCCGTCACTGGTGTTACAGAAGGCCAGCGGGGCGCTGAGAGACTGAGAGCACGCGTAGCAGACAGCGGTTGGAGTGGAGGTTAGCCCCGGGACGGCGAGCCGCGCCCTCCTGTGCGCCCGGCCAGGGTGCACCGTCCCCACCCGAGCACCTGGATGCGGTGGCAGCGGCAGGCTGCTGCTCTGCGCCAGGAGGAAGTGGTGCAGCCTCAGGACGTTGTCCTGCTGGCTCTGGGGAAAGGTGACGGGTGCGAAGGTGAGGCGAGGAGAGACGTGCCCTTTGCAGTGTGTGGGCATCGAGGTGGTAGGCGGGATCTGGCACAGTGCGGAGTATGAATGGCCCAGCGCTGTCCGTGAGCACAGCCGCCTTCTCAGCTCACCGGGGGCCACAAGACCTCAGCCGGGGGTGCCTGCCACCCTCTGGGGAGGGAGAAGAGAGGCTGCTGCCTCCTAGCCAGGGGCCTTGCTGCCTGAGACAGCTGCTGCTGTCCTGAGGTGAAAGCTGACGCCGCGCAGAGAAGCACCCCAGGCTCACTGAACCAGAGCAGTACAAAAGGACCCAGGCCAGCCTGCAGCTCACTGGGCAGCCCTGGCTGGTCTCCACCGAGCAGAGACCCTCCTGCCTCAGCCGCCCTGCACCACTGTGCCCAGCTCAGATTGTTTCCTGGTGCTGGGTGAGGGAGGGGCCTCAGAAGCAGCCGCCTAGGCGAGGGTGGGCTCTGGCCTCTGCCTGGCGCAGGGCGGATCGTGATGGTGTAGTCACCGACCAGCCGCAGAAACGCCTCTGAAGAGGCGAGGTGCACCCCGTTTTCTAGGGGCCAAACCCAGGGCCGTTGCCTTGAGCGCCACACCCAGCTCTTTGTTTTTTGAGGTTAAGTTGCCCAGGCTGACTCAAACTTGTGGCTCCTCCTGCCTCAGCCTCCTGCACCCCCATGGCCAGCTCACTGCACCCATCTTGGCACAAGGACAGTTGTCACCCGAGTGTGAAGCCTGCCGTGGAGGGACCCAGGACTGCTGAGCCCGGCCCCCCCTGCTCCTGAGGGTGAGCGACAGTGCTGAGCCACACCCCTGTGGGGAGAGGGAGCGATAGCCCGCCCCTCATGTCTCCCAGTCACCCCAGTCAGTGCAGCGCGGAGCAGCCCGTAGCCGGCACACGCTGCTGTTCAGAGGCACTTCCCTTCCAGTGACATAGATCTTAAAAGGGTGTGGTGGCACACACCTGACGTCCTAGCCAGCGTGCTGGGAGGCTGAGGCAGGAGGGTCACATGTCAGAGCCCAGCCTGGTACTTGGTGACTAGGCCATATCTTGCCTCCAACAACTTTCTTAAATGAATAAATGGGACTGAGAAGACCCTGGTGGAAGGGCCTTGAGTTCAGGCTCCGGGACCTGGAGGTGAGGGCAGCAGGAAGGGCTGGGCACTGCCTACCTCCCTGCCAGAGTGCCTGTCGCCTATAGCTGCGCTGTGCACAGCACAGAGCCCGCCCAGCTCCGCCTCCTTGAATAGAAGCTGTCCTTAATGAGCTACCTCAGCCCTGAGGGCTGAGACCTGACCTACCCTTGGAGCCTTCTGAGCCTGGCTGCAGCCACCGCATCAGGTGGCGGCAGTGTGCCTGAGGAGTTGGTGGCCCCAGCCCCATGTGCCCCATCCAGAGGGCTGAGGCTGCCACGCACGGCACACACATGGAGAGGGGACCTGGTGCGTGCCCAGCCCACACCTGCTGGGACCAGTAGGCCCAGGGAGAAACGAATGGAGTCTATAGCTTTAGGCCGCTGAGCTTTGGGGCAGTGGCTGGTTCCTCCGTGATCAGGACAGAAATTCAGATAGAGACAGTGACAGAAATGATGGCGAGTGCAGATTTGCATTTCCGTTAGACATTCAGGCACCCACAGAGGCCCAGGGAGATAGCCTGGTGGCCTAGGCGCCTGCCTGGAAAGCACAGGGCCAGGGCTTGACCCCCGGCATCACGTGCTAGCCCTGGAACCGGGACCAGGCGTGGTGGCACATGTCTGGAATCCAGCGCTGGGGAGGCTGAGACAGGAGGATCACTACGAGTCCGAGCTGCATAGCAAGACCCTGTACCAAAAAAGTAAATAGATTAAAAAAAAAAAAAAAAAGTCACTACACAGGTATTTATCAGGTGCAATTTAAAAGATATGGTAGGGGCTGGTGAGATGGCTCAATGGTCTAAAGCACCTACCTGGAACAAGCTAAGCTAAAGCACAGAGACCGCGGTTCAATCCCCAGCACCACCTGCCAGCCAGCCCCGCCCCCTGGTGGGCTGAGCTGGCCACACACACACACACACACACACACAAATAAAAATTAAAAAAAAAAAAAAAAAATAAAAAAAAAAAATAAAAGATATGGTAAATGTTTACTTTTTTTTTAATTTTAGAGAAAAAAATCCCAGGAGGCTCACTACAAATCTGAGCTCCATAGTGAGAGCCTGTACCAAATACATCTTTTTAAAAAAGGTAAAGAACCCAAAACAAATTTCCAAAACAATGCTAGGAGGGAGACAATGGTTAGTATGTTGTGTATTATTAATAATTATTATTTTAATGTATTTTAGTACAGGGTCTCACTATGTAGATCAGACCCGTAGTGATCCTCCTGTCTTCAGCCTCCCAAGAGCTGGGATTACAGGCGCACGCCCCCACGCCCAGTCTCAGTGCTGTCTCAGGGTGCCCCAGCGGACGAACCCCGGCCGCTGCACTCTGCCTAAGCAGGCACTTTAGTCTGCTGAGCTATCTGGCCGGCCCTGCTATCTCTAGTTAGTGCCTCAGAGCGCAGCGCCTCGCCATCCCATTGTCCCAGCAGCCTCGCCATTCCATTGTCCCAGCAGCAGCAGCAGCAGCAGCAGCAGCACAAGCCTCTGCGCTGAGCTGACAGCGATTAGCAGCCTGCCTTTCGGAGCTCCTTTTTCCTTTGCTGCTCCCTGCCTCGTTCTTTCCGCCCCCATCCCGGTCTCCTTCCTTCTCAGGCCCTTCCTGTGTCCCATCACGTGTCCGGTTGGGAGTGTGCCTGCTCCTTCAGCTCCTCACACCAAGACGATACTTAGCTGAGTGTCTGATTTATTTCATAAGTGTGGTCTCGGGCTGCATGCATTTACCTAAAGAGGTCTCCAGTTTATCCTTAGTTACGGCTGAGTAATGCTCCCTAGTAACATAAAAATCCATTGCAGTGACAGACACACCACCACAAGTCCCCATAAAGGCCTTCCCTCTCACGACACGCTCACCCATCATCCCGGCCGCTTCCTGCAGCAGCTCCGGAGCCCCCTTTCCCGAGGGTCTCTTTGTGGCTGCCTCAGTGTTCTGAATCAGTTCAAAACCTTCCCAGCAATTCCCATCTGATAAAAGCGTTCCTGTGAGTCCTCGCCCATCTCATGCGCCCGACCTGGCCCTGGGCAGCTTCTAGCTCTTCAGGTCAAAACAAGCATTACAGGAAGACGTTTTGGATTGATTCAGGACATCAAGCCAGCCAAGACAGCATGCCCCAAGTGTCTCAAGAGAGGACTCCAGAACTGCTGCCGAAGGTGACACGGGCATTTGGAGCGGCTGGGAGGCGCAGCTGGGCGGTGAGTGCTTAGGGTGATAACTGTCTCCTCGTCGCAGCGTTCACTGCCCTTCCCGCTCCTGCCTCGGAGATGCACGGTGCTCACTGGTTTCCCCTCGCAGCCCAAGAGTGACAAAGGCAGGCCCTGACCCGGTGAGTGAAGCCACTGGCCATCCGCTAAGTCCGAGCTACCCACATCCCCCGCTCGCGACGCAGGCTAGAAGGAGGCAGCGCCAGGGGCCTTTGTGGAGGTGGAAGCAGTGGGGGAGGCAGGATCTCCACCAGTCACACAGCAGGCGGCGCAGGGAGACTTGGGGCCAGGTCCGCGGCCGCAGCCTGGGGGTCCCTTCGTACCAGCCTGCCGCAGATCACCTGTCCTGCTGCCAGCCCATTGGCCTGTCCAGGACTTGTGGCACACGAAGGGCCAGGGTGTGAGCTGCCTCCCCACCCATCCTGGTGGTAGGGTTTCTATGGCCCCGCCTGGGCCTTCATTCAGACCCGCAGAGGCCTCCAAGGGGAGGCCGCAGCCCGCCCCGCCCAGGGCAGGTTTCATCCTGTGAATGGA